TATATAAAAAGTGAATTGCGGTATCAGAATTCACTTTTTTATATTGATTTTATATATAAAAAGTGAATTGCGGTATCGGAATTCACTTTTTTATATTGATTTTATATATAAAAAGTGAATTGCGGTATCGGAATTCACTTTTTTATATTGATTTTATATACATTTCATGCATAGCGCCTTTGGCCAATTTTACTAGGCAGATTATATAGCAATTCATTTCGCAAAAAAATAAAGTATAAGTTATGGTTGGCCTTGACATAGTCGAGAGATATATAATGCTAATGATCAGTTGAAAGATATTGCGAAGTGCCTTAAGCCAGTTAGACAACCGTGATTACTCTCCCATCCCTTAATCTCAACATAGTGCCTTTTGGCTGTTTTGCATACTGAGACGAGATAAATATTCCGCCTGTATCACTTTTGCAATTCGATAACTGATAAGAAGTTAGTGAAATCATTTCTTGCTTAGCAGGTGAAATATAAGCTGGCTCAAAATTTGGAGCACTAGACATGATATAGTTGCATTGTATTTTATTTCTTGCTATGGCCAATCTATCAGATAATTGGCACCTCTTATGCTTTGAATAACTTATATAATCATAAAATTGATCTAGTGGAATATTAAAAGGTCTATATAATCCATCAATAGAATACCATATATCCAAGTTTACAGTGCAACGAGTATCTCTACTAGGCATACTAAGAAACTTCTTTTCTCTAGGAGTGTTATCATTTCTAACTGCCTCCCAAACTTGTTTTGCTAGTAAAACAGGCCTCTTCCTATAATTTCTATAAGCTTTTTGAATAAGCCGAGCACTTCCATCTGGGGTTTTAGCTTTGGAGCATTCATTATTCCAATGGTATTTCATCAAGTCCTCAGATTTAATCTCATATCCATATCTGCGCCATCCACTGAAATATGTTTTTTTTGGTTTTATATCAGTAATCTTTACCAATTTCCAGCAATCAAACCAAATAGCCATATTACTCTTATTGATTCTGGGCTGATGATAGTCAGAATTAACCATCTTGCCATTCCCAAATCCTGCAAATAAGCAATGTCGGTAATATACACTAAATCTCTGATTGGCTAATAATTTTTGTAATCGAATTCTGACATTTACAGCCCATGCAACTAGAGACTGACCTGGTTTCACAACTGATAATGTATCATACTCCCACTCTATTCCGATTATTTTTTTGAGGTCAGTACCATAACAGTAATTTACAATATATGCGCTAACATATTTCATATCGTATCCAGGATGATTATTAATAGGTTTAGGCACAATCTTATTAAACCACTCATCTAAAATAATATTAGAAGATAATCCGGACATATTTCTTGTTCACTTAAATGAACGAATTATAACGATTTATAGCAATTTATTGATTTATAGCATTTTTAGCAACTTTTTAGTATCTTATACTAATGGATAACATGTTTCAAATTTGCCGGTTAAGCAGTTTTAATGATTTATAGCAGTTTTATCGATTTGTAGCCGATTTAGAGAGACTACATACTACTAAACCCAAATTCGATTGGGATCATCTCTCAAGCTAAGCTAATCTTATATTTACATGCGTCTTCCACAAGTCAAAAAACGATCTATCTCACACATATCGGGTACCTATATATCGGTGACTAATTAGGTACATATCGGG